GGGGGGGGGGGGGGGGGGGGGCGTGCTTGCGTGCGTGCGAGCGGGTTTTTCATTCCCGAGGGCGTTTGACCTTTTGACCCTCGTGCGTGGAAGCGTAGTTTTTATTCTTGAGGTTTTTTCGACCGTTCGAGCCCCGTACCACACCACGCCCCTTCCCAGCAGAGATCGGGCACAAGGCTCTTTTTTTTTGACTCGCGGAGCACCAAGACGCCGCGGTTGTAGCATCACTCACATCATTAGCCCCGCCGCTTGTGGATGATCAGTTCAATAACATATATATATTTTTTTTTTTGTCTTTCCAGCGACTCCAATTCCTGCTTCGAAGGCACGAGTTGAGCGTTGGCATGAGCCGCTTGTTTGTTTCGGGGGCGGGGGGCGGGGGCTTGTGTTGGCCCAAGGCTCCCGTCGTCCTAGTCGATCGGCCAATTTAGCTCTGCTCGCTGGCACGCAGTTACACGTAGTTGGCGATGGACCATGCATTTATTACGGAGGCCACCTGTCCGGGGTGGCAGTTTTCAGAGAGAACGGGTCGAGATGCAGTTAGGGGCGATATTTTTTTTTGCTTCCTTGCCCCTGCCTAGGGGTACCCGCCTCTTGACGGCGGTGCTGAAGGTAGTAGGCAGCGGTGGGGGAGAAACAGAGACAAGACAGGCAAGACAGGCAAGACGACGACACAGACGGTGTTTATTTACGCGGGGAGCGACGAGGCTCCTCTGCCAGTTCCTTGCGCTTGGTCTGCCGCACAATTTTATGGTTATTTTTCTACGCAGCGCTGCACAACCCCTGTTTTTTTCTTGCTTGTGTTTTAAGGGGCGTGCTCGTGCTCGATGTCATGCGTTGCTTCTTTGTGTGTGGGTGCTTTGACCAGAGGTTGCCGCTTTTTTTCTTGTTTTCCCGTGCGTGCACGCCACGCAAAGCCGTCACTTCACGCAGGCAATGATTTTGCCTCACAATAAACTTGTTGGTCGGGGTCTAGTGTTTTCTTGTTTTCTTCCGGTTCGGGGGGAGTCTATCTCGTCATGGCGTCGAGAGATCTGTTGTGATTGATGATAGGGCGTGGGCTGTGGAGTGAACAATGCGTAACGAGGGCGCCACACGGAACCACCGAGTGCGGGCATGTGCACTGCTGTGCCTCTTTGAGATCGTGGAAGTTCTTGTGTATTTTATTGAAGTCGTTCTTGTCCCTAAATATTGCTACCCTTTTTTCCGTTGCCTGCTCATGGTTTTCGTGTGTCATGTTGTCGTGAACGATTACGAGTTATCCTCTTTTCTTTCTTGCTCAAGATACTAACAAAATGAATGGGTGGTGTGCGCGCGTTTTTCTTCATGGTACAATAATTGTCGTCTGTATGTGTCTGCTGTTGAGAGTAAATTAGTGGCCCTTCTCTTTTTCGTCGGGCACAGCAGCAGCTGATTGTGAGTTGCTATTCGTTGACTTTTTCGTCTGCCAGAGGATGGCCGAAGGCCGATGGGTTTGCGAATTTCTGACGTGTCATTTCAAGGGGGGAAAACGACTTTTGTAATCGCGGTTTTTTTACTCGAAGAGAGAAAGAGAGTTAGACGAGAGGCTGATGTGGAGGGATCATTGGCGATACGATGTAACCGTCGAAACAAGGCTGGTGCAAGATTTCAGCGCCGCCGCTGCTGCTAGCCGAGCACGACACGCTCGAGTAGGAGCGGAGTGGTGGTGTTTTTTTACGGGTGAACAACTGTCTGTGCACGATGCTTTTTTTACTCTTCTTTCGGAGATGTCGCTAGCGAACGAAGCGTTGCCTGCGCTGGGACTACGTGGCGTGGTGACCGCAGCAGGCAGGCGTGTCGCTAAAAGCGATCTGTTGTTTTTGTTTTCGGAGATCGGGTACTACTTGTAGTGAGTAAAGAAATAGCAGTACCTTCCGCCAAAGTGTATTTCCAGTATATACTTCCTTTTGTATTGGGTGATCCGTGGTGTTTAGACATTCAAGGTACAGGGGGTAAAGCTAGGGAATCCCCCTCCCGGGGATAGTTCGCGACCCCCTCCCCCCCCTTCCGAATTGTATGAAAATTCCAGGGTTTGCCGCGCCAGCAACGAACAGTAGTCTAGCTACATGTTTCGACTTTAGGAGCGTTCATGTTTTCGTGAGTGCTATGCGCACAACCTTCGTTTTTTGTGGATGCTTTTGACCATTGTGTACCTTGTATTTGGGTTAGCTTGTGACCATCCATGGAAGTTCGGTGCTATGCCTCGAAAGTGTAAGGAAGAGGTAGCAAAGGTACTCGATAGACGCCAGCTGCGTTTTTTTTGTAGTGAAGACAACAAGACAGGGAGCAACCAAGTGTACCCGAAGATTTTCTGTAGTGTAATAATCTCGAACGTTTGCCTACCGTCGACCGTCTATACGTCGCTTGGACCGAGTTTCAAAGCTCGATTGGTCATCATCTGGGAACATGGGTATCAATACCCAACACTGCGATACCTAACACTGCTGAGGGTGTATACGACACAAGACAACACACCCCCCGGACCGATTTTCATAGCTCAATGTATCAACGTCAAAGAGAGTCGCAGCGCAGAAAACGACGGCATTGAAGCCTCCTGGACCATTTTCAGAGCTCGATTACTCCGCGACCAAGAGGATACGTAAACGAATATGTTTTCGGAGAGCTATCGACCAGACGGCTTCAATGGAGGTGCGTTATCTTGTGTGCCTGTCGTATTGAAAAATTATCTGATGCTGCTGCTGTTGTTGTTGTTGCTGCTGCTGCTGCTGCGAATATATCTCGCATGCGCAATGCACACATCATCGCTTCTTCAATCTTTGTTATCTCGGCACAAACGCCCTCGGCCCATGGGGAGGTGCAAAATGTAACATGAAAATGTAACATGAACACACATCTTTGCATGACTGATTTACCCATAAATGCCACACCACGGTGCCCCCGCTATACCCTGCCTCACCCACGTCACCCCCTCGGCACACCGCTCGCTGCTCGTGTTGCGCAAAACCCACTCACTCACTCAACTGCCAAGCAAGTCGTCGACAGAGACCAATAGCCACGAACCATGGAAGCAGACGATGCCAGAAAAACTCTATCTTCTGTGCGGTTGGCGAGAGATCACGCCGCGTCCGGCCGTCACGGAGCAGCCACTGCCCTTTTGATGCAGGTCTGCCTGCCTTGCGAACAGCACTATGTTACAATATATACAGCAGTACAGGAGTAGTCAGCCGATCCCTTGATTCAAAATTCAAATTTGCTTGTGTTCGTGCACATTCTTCAATTTTTCTGTAGTGAGACGATGACGAGCACAAACCACAACGTGAACGAAAGACTCCAAGCGAATTATGAGTTTTCCCGGCGTTGGACAATCAACGTTGCTTGGCGGGGTTGCGCACACATGCAGGCGCTCCAGAGTGTTCCTCAACTTGCCGAAGAGCTGGAGGGTGACCTGACCTTCTCCCTCAAGGCGTACGGCGAGCACCTTGCAACAATTGGTCAACCGAGCAGCGCTCTCTGGCTCTATTCTCAGGTACCAGTGCTCTGCATTCGATAACTTACGACGTCTGAGGAAGCACAAGGGTGTCCTGCCTACACGAACTACCCACCTTTGACTGAATACATACGACGACAGCGGTGTCTCCGTGCGCAGCAAGCATCACCATGCCTGGCGTGTTCGGTGGGGTCGGGGACACGGGGTTGGGGGACGTACATATTCAGGCCGTCGCAGTTGTCTCAGCAACAGTTCTATAGGCAGACATCCCTCCGTCGTTTGCCCTTCCTCAAGCTCTTTTGTCCCCTTTCTACCGACCGTCTTCGCTGCTGGACTGAAGCGTAGGCCATTCCGCTGCTCGAGCGTCCGCGAGGACTTCTCACGAACCTCGGTGCACTGCATTACTCGCTCGGAACAGCGGCCGCATCTATGGAGAGCTTCCAAAAGGTGAAAGGGCGCTCGTGTCGCAAAGCGACCGGTCCATCTACCGCCCTACCATTCCCAGTAGGTGCACACCGAGAGGGCGTTTTTCGCACCAAACTATATGGGGCCATGACCCTTCCCTCTGAAGGTGTTTGGCTGTGGTGCCATCGAGATCGCTGCCGAGAGGTATCGGTTGCTCTTGTGATGACTGTTGTTTCAATGGCACCAAACCAACGACTGGAAGCCCGCCTGTAAAATTTACGCCGTCACAACCCCCTGTTTCATGCATCTCTCACAGCAGTGCGGGTCCTCGTGCCTCCCTCCCCTCTCGCTTCAGGCACTAGCGCTTGACCCGGCCTATTGGCCGGCTTTGGAGAGCCTGGAGAACGTCAAGAGCTTGGCGGTGGACCGGTGGCACTTCCGCATGCTTAACCATTCTGCCCGAAATGAGGCCTACTCGAGAGCGATCCAGAGAGCGGTAACTGCTGCTGCTGCTGCTGCTGCTACTGCTGCTGCTGCTGCAGCTGGCCGAAACCTGGAGGTGAGAGGTCTTCCGGTAGGCATCAATACGCAGGTGGGCCGAGAAGACCTCCCATGTAGCGCCATCATTTGCCAGATCTGTGACCCCATCCGCTCCACGGTACAGTTGCAGCGTGGTCCCGGCTTGTACCTATTTTACGTCGCCGTCTTCCCCGAGATGGCAAGAAGTTTTCCTTGGGAAGCAGATTTGTAGCGGAGGTGTGAGACGAACTTCCTTCTACCGAGTTGGCCGCCTGTGTTCGCCTACCATGTATGTGGGCGTTATCGTGTGATTACTCGCGGTCGCAGGCGGGCGTAACGGTGCTGGACATCGGCACGGGCACTGGAATCTTGGCTGTGTTGGCGGCGAGGGCGGGTGCTTCGCACGTGTATGCCTGCGAGGTGAACAGTGTCTTATGCGACGTCGCGAGGGAAGTCTTGGAGAGGTGGGTTGCTTCGGGCTTGTTCCGAAGCCCCCTGTTGGCTTGATTGTCGTTGCTCGGCCCCTTTGCACGACACGAAACAGCCCCACCATAGTATTTTTCCTCGCCCACGTCACGCATTTCGATGGCCAGCCGGAAACAACCCCCAAGGGAGCTCGTGACCTTGCGACAGCAGTCGCCCCGCTTGTTAACGGCAGCGCGTTGCTACACGCACCGCCTCGTATTCTTTTCTCGGCCGCGCCAACTCTGCCGTGGTTGTTGCAGGAACGGGGTTGCCGACCGCGTGACGGTGATCCACAAATCGTCAGGGGCCCTGCAGCCAGGCGTGGACCTACCCGAAGGCGGAGTGGACGTGATCGTCACCGAGCTGGTTGATTCCGGCCTCTTGGGAGAAAAAATAATCCCCGTTCTCACCGACGCGAGGGCGCGAGGGCTTTTGGCGCGGGGGGGACGGGTTGTCCCCGAGGTGCGAAATACGGATGCGGACAGGACGGCACTGTCCGTCTACGCTCATTAATTTTTGAGTTTGGCTGACAGATGTTTTGTTTGGTCAGCCACGGGGGCGACAAGTCTCGATGCGAAGAAACCGCACCTTGCGTTGCAGAAGTACTGTAGTGCAAGAAATGCAGGATTGTCCGCTAAAGTCAGCCCCCCGCACCAGCCCAGTGCGTGAAATAAACCACCTGGTCTTCATGACTTCTTCCTGCTGCATTTCCAGGGAGCTTGTGTCTACGCGGCGGTTCTCGAGTCCGATGCCGTCCGGAGGCGTTCGAGACTACTTCCCGGCAACCCAGGAGGGCTATCTTCGACATCGGTCTGCCCAACAATAGAAGAACCGTACACCTGCGAGGCAAGCGGACAATCCCGCGCTGTACAAGGCTGCCAAGTAACCTAGTAACATGCGTGCTTTAGCGTACCATGCCTTGACGTTGATGCGGATACACGCATCAGAACCTGCTCCTGTTTGCTCCACGCATGGCAATCGTGTGCATCTTCTTCCGACGACTCGCGCTGTACGCCTTGTTCTCCTCGTGCATATCGAATCGCTTCACGGCGACAGCAAACCCCGGCCCGAAACCGTCTTGATGAACCGCCCTACTGAACGTGGGCAATTATAGGACCTTGGGCGTCTGGAACATCGGCTCCTGACCTCTCCACAGCCGGTGCTCGAGGTCGATTTTTTGAGGGATGGTGCAGACCTTATGGCGCGCTCAGCAACGTGCTCGCCGCAGGGCGTTCCGGCGGCACCCGGAATGCCTCCTCCCTCGGCGATCGCAAACCTCGCTGTGAAGTGTTCGGGTCGTGCAGACGCGGTCGCCGTTTGGTTCGACCTTTGGCTGGATAAGGAGCGAGGGGAGCGCGACGTCGTCAGCACCAGGCCGGGACAAAGCGCCCCCGGTGACGCGTCCGGCTGGGTAAGCGGAAAGCTCTTTTGTTGAACAGGACACCATGCCGTCTGCGGGCGAAGTACCAACATGTCCTAGCTTCTGATGACCCGTGCAATGTGAACTGCGTGCCCCGTAGGCCAATCTTTGCCCGTATGTGCCTCGTTTTTATGTGTCTGTTTTCGTCAACCACACGGGTTGCAATTGTGTGTTGCGAAAATTTCGTCCCGACTCTTTCCGTAGGACGCCGGGATCTACTTTGCGCACGGGGCGAACTTGAATGAAGGAAGCGAAGCAAGTTTGGGAGCTTCCTCAAGGGTAGACAGACTTTGCTTCACCGTTAACGGGCAGGAAGGACTCCTCCACAATTCCGTCGTCGCTGCCGAGACACCAAGCGAAGTTATCGACCGCGGCATCGGCGACAGAACTGTGGGCGAAGGGAGCCTTAGGACTGCCTACAACAGCAATGGGCCAGTTTATCTGGGGGAGATGGATATGGCCAGGCTAAATGACGGGCCCTTCCACTCCTCGCAAGCGAAAGCTGTGGCAGAAGCTCTGGTGGCCCAAGGCATGGAAATCAGCATTCCTGCCGCCACGCGACAGGGTCCAAGGTCGAGCTCAGTTGCATCCTCGTCGCAGACGCCGGCATTTCACTCGCCGCCGCCGGCCTTCGTTCTCGACCTGTGCGGTGCGTGGGGTGTGGCTGGGTTGCTCGTGGCCAACATGGAGCGGAGTGCTGACGGAGCACCTGCGACAAGGGTTCTTGCTGTCGCTGAAAGCGAAGAGTCTGCCGCGATTCTGAACGCGATCGCGAGAGAGAACGGCCTCGGACCAGACCGGTACGTGGCTACCGCGGACGGGCTCGTCGATCTCGCGTCACGCGGTGGGGTTTTTGAAACGACGACGGCTAAAGGCGCGGACGAACGGGCCAGCTCAATGGCTACCCGTGAGCAACGGGATAGCGGCTGGCCTGCCCGCGGGAGCGACTTGGGCTGGGCTGTGGTGATGACGTCGTCGGTGGTGGAAGCGTCGGGGCTGTTGAAGCAGGGGGGACTTGGGGGCCTGGAATTGTGTCGACATTTAGTCTCCGACGGCAACAACAGAAGCAGCGGAGGGCGTGATGGCAGAAATACCTCACCAACGGCCTTTGTGCCGGGACGTCTGGAAGTGGTGTGCCAAGGCCTCCAGCGGGCGTCCCTTTTGTCAGAGAATAGGGTTCAATCGGACAACTGCTGTGGTGTGATCGTTGACCCCGTGAACGCGTTCAGCGTGGCGACTTTCAGAGAGCTCGACCTTTCTGCTGCCGCTCCATGCGGCCACAGCGAGGGTTCCACACCAGCAGCAAGGAACGAAAAGACGACCGGTGGTGGTGTGGACGCCGAGAGCAGCACTCGCTGCGTCCCAACGGATGGCGAGAAAGGCAAGGGTCACGAGGAAGAACAAGAGATATTTTTGACACCATCAGCCGTGTGCTACGAGCTGGACCTTGCCAACGTGCAGGCAGGACCTGATGGCTGTCTCGACAAACGATCGGCCAGCCTGGTCGTGCAGCGCTCCGGGACTCTGCACGCGATCGCTTACTGGTACCGGCAAACCCTCGGTGCGACGGTTGTGCTGGACACACAGCCGAGCGGTAACCCGGAATGCATCTCTGCGTCGTCTCACTTCAGGCAGGCTGCTGTCCTACTTGAGAAGCCGATCGAGGTGAAAGCGGGTCAGTGCATCGACATGTGCGTATTTTGCAACACCAGCAAGGGGGTCGTTGTCCAGGTATTAGGTGTCACCGAGGGGACGGGGGCGGTTGGGGATGATATGTGCAAATCGTAAAACGCGCTGGGACGGGTGCGCTGCCTCCTTCGAGACTCTACTTGTGTGGAGGGGTTCAGTACGTCTGTCGCGATCAGATATATCTGCATCTTGTGGTGGGTGTTGAGTTTGTCGGTTGAAGCCGCCGCTGCCGACGTGCTTATTGAGACGCGTGAGGTTGTGCCACTTGTTTTTGGCTCCTCCGCATCGTCCACCCTCACGCATAGGACAGGTTTTTGCCGTGGAGGTCTTGAGGTTGGGCTTCAGAAATCCCAACGTGCAATTGGGGAGTAACAGAAAAAATAAACTGAGAAAAATTACTACTACTTCGAAGTATGTTTTTCGTAGCACCTGCTGTTACTTGGAAATGGGATGCACAATACAGCACACAAAAAAGTCCGGACAACGGCCAAAAACGTTTCAGAAGCCCCTCCCGCCGTCATTCCACCACTTGTACCATCAAGATCAACCGCACTTTTGTCATCCGATAATTCAAACGAGACCGAAACTGCGTGATTTGATGCGGCCTCAAACGCAGCAACCACCGGATCCACAAATAATAGTGATCGCAGAACAGAAAAATACGGCAACAACAAAATGTGTTCCTCCACAACAACGACCTTCAACAAGATCGAACTCTTGCTGCTATCAGGATCACATTTCCTTCACCTCACGCCAGCGCCACTGTCCGCTGCAAGCATCCCTTACTTTTTCTCTGGGCGTACGCACCACACACCACCAATCCTTGCTGCTATTAGCACAACCTTTTCACATCACGTCACTCCCACTGTCCATTGGATCCGCCCCTCACTTTTTTTTGGGCCCGGGGCACACGCACCACGCGGCAATCCGCGCTCTTGTCCCGAAAACACCAACGCATACCATACACTCCCCGTTCACCCTGATCTACTGTATACACTATGCGTTCAACTGCTAGACTATTGGATCGCACGAATCTATCACAGCAAAACTCAGTCAACGACGAAGACGCCAAAACCTCTTGGCCGCCATATCTACAAGACAAGATATAGGTAAAAAAACTCTTGTGCAAACGCTTGTAGGAGTAACAAACGGGGAAACAACCACCCTCCAACCACTCGAGCAGTTGTGCACAATCGAGGGCATGTGTCTGCTGCAATATTTACTCTAATCTACTCTTTGCTGGCGAGCTGCGAGCTTCCCCGCTGTACAATTGGTCTCGCGTCGCCAAGCAGCCAAAAAAACAAGAAACGCGGCGAGTAGTTCAGTCAGAAAGCCCTCGCCCAGTCGTTTCACGCAATACCAATGTCATCGTTTTTCTACAGACTCTCGTCGTTGTCTTCGCTGCCGCTGCTGTCGGGCAGCGAGCTGCACAAGCACCCCCCTAGCACGAACGAGGCGCCCAACGGGCTGGGGAACGGTTCCCCTAAGGCAGAAGATGCCAGACCGGCCCCTACCAAAGGCTCTAACGAGTAGATCACCGTTGCCTCTGAGGAGTGAGTGAAGAGAGCACGGGCACAACGATGAGGGGGTGGAGAGTGAAGGGTGACTCGACGGAAATGGATAAGAGGGGGTCAGCCGTGGGGGGGGAATGGGCTCAGCTAGTAGAGAGGGGGGTTCAGCAATGTGTGTGTGGGAGGGGGGGTTCAGCCGGGCTCGACTGACACACAGCAAAAAATACGACCTTACGCTTGGACAAGCAACTCGCTCCGGCAGCGTTTCGTGTGCTTGCCGGCGAGAGAAAGGAAGGAACACGCGGGAAGGAGCGAGAGCGCACAACGTTCCCGCTGGCCTTAATGTTTATCAATGACTAGGTAATCTCGGTTCAGGCAGATGGTGTACCGGGAAGACACGGAAAGTATGCGTATGTGTCTGATAACCTACCGCTGTGAGAACTAGCTGTTGACGGGATGACAAGGTAATACAAAACTGGTCCACTCCGGATGCCCTGCTCAAGGTTTGAATCTGGCCCTCTTTGGCAACATCGGACTCGACGCGTTCAAATTGAACCATGGAGCCGCGACAGGAAGTCCACGATCCAACCCATCGAATGTAACTGAAAAGACATCAACTGATACGACCACTGCATCAGTCGTGACCCCGTTCTGAGCGAACACAGACGATTTGGGGAAGCGTCTGGGGGGAGGTCACTTGACACGGGGGGGTCTGCTTCAGATTCTGGGGACACCATGGGGGGCAACGAGCAACGTGGCAGTATTCAATGAAAGAGAGCTTCATCGAATGCGGGGAAGTTTGCTTGACCAGGTGTTCCTCAAATTGCGGCGCCGACCCGTGTGCTTACCAGATGCCGACACGCTTTCGAGCGCGTCTGTCTCCAAAAAGAGCACGAGGGCCGTGTTGACGAGCCCTAGCCACAGCAGCACCGCAAGCGCCCACGGATCCGCCCCTGGGTTCGTCAGCGCCTCTGGTAGACCCGAGGGAAACCCTTGTGGGATAACAAGGGAAAGAGAGCGACGAGGAAGCATTGCTATGAGAAAAACTTCACGCAACTGAAAGCAAACTACCTTCGCACCCGGCCGCAAGCCCCAAGTGCCTGCATTTCGTCAACACTTCTGGGTTTCTTCTTTTGAAGACCGGGGCAAGAGTCTTGCCCTCTAACTCTCCGCCACTCCGTTGTTTCCCCGAGACTGCTACAGCTCTACACTCTCTTCCTTGGGGTACTCTAATCCGTAAGTCCTGCTGGTTCAAGGAAGATCGTGCTGATTTCTATAGGGTGACGACTAAAGAGTGGGTACATGACACTCCTCCGCCTCTTGACTCCCCTCACCACCTTGAGCAATGCTCCACAGCGCCGAGGTGATCGCCACCACCGCCACCTGACTTGCGGTGAGAGGAAGCGCCTGGCCGGGGTGTCGCTGCACCACCGTCTCCATTCTCCAGGTCGAAAACCCGAAAAAGAAAGGCTGCAAGAGCGCCAGCACGCGCGGCAAGAGGTCTGCCGCTCCGTCCACCGAGTCAGGCTGGGCCCCTACGAAAATACAGGTTGAAGTGTTTCGGTTGGATATTGGCAACATGAAACCAAGTCCTTGCGAGGGAATATAAATATAGCTACCGGGTTGAGCAGGAACATTGTTGCGGCCTCGATGTCCTCTTTGGACTGTTTCTCTGACAACGGAGCGTCAGTGGTCTAATGCAGAACGTGGACAAACCCGCACCATTGCAGGAGTGACCATTGCTGCCTGATGTTGGATGTCGCACGACACACAGCATGCAGCAGGACTCCTCTTGTTTTGCAGCGCGCTTTGCGCTGGACGAAGCCCTGATGCCACGACCAAAATGGTGTGTTTTGTTTCGCATGCCAGAATCATGGACTTTTGCCTGACCACAACGGCAAAACACCGCAGAGCACCCCCGCCCCCCCCTAACCTCAACAACATCTGTCCTCCGCGCCCCGCCCCAAAACCCACCTCCCGACTGCAGCAGAGCTGCGCCACCACAGGCAAGAACGGCGGCGCTGATAGTCGCAACCCCGACCTTTCTCTTTCCCGAAATCTGGTCGAGAAACGGCACCACCAGCACCGCCAGGCAACCCACCAACGCCAGCTGAGAGGCGGGCAATGACTGTTGTCGTCGTCGTCGTCGTCGCCGTTATCGCCGCCGCCGCCGTTGTTGGCGTTGTTGTTGTTGTTGGCGTTGGCATCGGTGGTGAAAGCCGTGGGGTCGTGAAAGCTTGTTAGTGATTGGCGGGCGGGCAGAAGAAACGCGAATGTTACGGGAGTACAAGAACATATGCTCACGAGGAAAAAGGAAAAAGTTGTGACACGGTTCGCGTCGCGTGAAAACGTTCGTGCATAAATTAACCATATTTCTCGATCTCTCTGGCCCTCCTCGACCCGTAATTAAGACCTCCCGTTCTCTCACCCTCATAGCGTAGGCCTGAGCCATGTATCCCAGCGTCGCGTAGATCCCCACCTCCGCCCCAGCTAGCAAAACATCCATTCCGACTCCTTTCAACGCCGGCAGCAGCGCCAGTGATGCAAGACCAAAGCGAAGCGTCAGTAGACTCGACGTATCCATGAAATCTCCCATGAACTTGATGGCGGTGTAGTTCGTGCCGTACAGGCAGGCAACCAACGCCAAAGTGAGACGAGCGCGCCAAGGCTCGCTTGGTTTCGCCCTGAAAAATGCGGTATGCATGTGCAGGAAGTAGTGCAGGCAGCGGTGTGTTCAGCGTAAAATCTGGGGTGGGTGGGGGGGGGGAGGGGTTACATGGCAGTGCGGGTTGCTCTTCGCTTCAAGCTGGCAGAGGGCGAAACGACAAATGTCGTCGTCAAACAACGAGAACTTACGCAGGCGTAGAACGCTGCTGGAGCATCTCTTAGCCCTCACCCGTTCGCCGAATCCGTGGAGGACGCAGAGGGAGCGATGATCGAAGAGGCAGAAGAAGACCCTTCCGCAACACCTTTCATCTCTTCTACGCGTTTCAGGGTTGTTCTGGTGGTGCCGTTGCGCTTCCTCCTGGAAGACGAGTTGAGCAGCGCAGCCGCTGCCACCTCGACGTTAACTTTGTCTGGTCCCGCCGCTGCTGAGGGTGACGGCAGAGGGCTCGCCGTCGCGTACATCGGCAAGTAAGACGACGGCGTTCGCTTGCCGTTGCCGCTGTGGCTGCTGCAGGCCGTGAGAGGTGTAAACGCTGACGCTGCCCACGGGGCATGTGGCAGCCGACGACGGGTTCGACGCCGCTGCGTTGGTGCTGCCGCCGCCTGATGGCGTAGTTGATGTTGGAGCCGTTGCCGGCGGCACCCACCGGCGGCCTGGAATGCAATGAAACGCATGGGGGGGGGGGGGGGAGCTTCAGGTCCCACCCTATGCAACGAGCCAAACTTGACGTCTTTGCTAGTTGCGTCAGGACAACACAATAGGTCTGTTCTGTTCGTAATTACCGCCAACAGTGAAGCAGCATAGGGCACAAAAAGGCAAGTCACACGTTACAACAGCAGCCGTGGAACCAGTGCTAGCGGTGCCAAGAGCCCAATACGTTCGGTCGCCAGTTGGTAACCTCGAGCGGATCTAGCAAAATTGCGTCGGAAGTTCGAATGCCGGCGAACTGGGGCTGTGGCTTGGCATTTCGCAACCTAGTACTGCTGTGAGGAGGCCTAGTCTGTACTTGAATATTGTTTCCAGCAAGTCAACATATAACTACATCTCGATTGGACCCCATATATGAGGGTTTAACATACTTGGCATCGTGTTGTGTTGGTCGTTGACCTGCGGCGATTTGAATTCGCTGCTCAAGCCGTCGTGAATTCGAAACCGTAGCCGTTACCCCAAAACGTGGTTCTTTAGTTCTGAACGGCATCAATGTACCTCCAGCATGAGGATTTGCAGAAAATCGTCTGCGGCGGGCGCTAAGAGAATCAACAGCAACAGAACTTCAACTAGTATGTTCCCTCCTTTTGAGTGCTCTCTCTCTCTCTCTCTCTCCCCATGTACAACACAGTCTTCCCTGAGGGAAGGAACTGCTCGCGGTCATCATACTGATGGCATGCATCCGAGAGGAGTTTTGCGCTGACCCAATCAGTTCGGGTAGAGAGGCAACAACAACGGACTTACAGCAGCAGGTGGTTATTGGGGGCAACGTTTCAAAGATGGGGCGACTGAAAACAAATAGACGAAAGGGCACTCGAAAGACCAACCTCGGAGTCGCACGCACGTCGAAGTATGTCAGCACGAACAGCGATCTATGACGGCAGTATCAGGGAGGGTACGTTGCTTCTGGAACACCTGTGGGGTACTAGCGATATCCTGTAGATCCCTCCCCCCACGACCTGCAACAGTTGGCCTGTCGGCAGGAACCGTTGCATTCCATCGGAGGAAAAGCACCGGGTCTGAACGGGGGGTAGGTAACACCATTGGGATGCCCCGGGGCAGCAAAATAGGCGTGTCGTTTCGGCTAACGGAGTAAGACTACTATTATACAGCAGTGCACACAAGCGGCAGTTATTTGGACCTTTGCCAGAAACACGTACGTACGCAGGTATGATTGGAAACTATGTACGACTGCTCTTCTGCTGCTGTCCGTACCTCGGCCCCTGGAGTCGAATTAACCACCAACCAACTTGTCCCTAGATCCGGCACCACCCAAGCGACGATAGCCCATGTTGCCGCTCTTCGCATCGCACACAGCAGGAGATAACCGACTGACCGACTGGGCTCGAAGGGGTGAAGAGCCAGCAACTTTCCGTTATGTGGCCGACCCGCTCTACCCGGACGCACGACGGGTGGGGACGCGAACTGAAGAGCCCCTGCCGAGCCAATGTGTCGTGGTTGCAACGCAAATGACCCCTGCTGTTCGCCTCGATCGTGCTCACACTCTTGCTACGTGACGTGATGCGACGGAGTCTATGTTCTACATCACGGTGGATGACAAGTAGTGGTGACAGGGAGGATTGATTGCCGGCGGCGACTAACGGACCGAACCAAACAGGTTCAGAATACGGTTCACAAAAAAAAAAAAACGTTTCTCCCCGCCTTCCGGCCTTCTCCCTCAAAGATCTCACTCCTCTCTCGCGCGCAGAACGCACATACCAGCTTCTCTTCGTGACACCTGCGTTGTGGGTTATCCGTTGGAGAAGTTTGGGACGTCCCCGAGAAAGCCGGCACTCTGTCTCGCTCGCCCTAGAATAGGATCGCCGACGTGAGAAATGTGAGGAATTTGCGATCTGGATGCGGCATCAAGAGAGACGTCGTTTCTCTGGTGCATGATGCACCCACGTTCGTCCCAACTTCTTGGTCCCCGAGGATGTTGTGACGGTATACTGCCTTAAAGCGGAACGTACTGGCTCGTAAATTGCACGAGTCGTAGAGTGATTGGAAGTGAGATCTTGGACGCCACCTTCAGTCTGATGACTACTGCTGTACCACAGTAGCGAACAGGAGAGTCTTCATGTAGACTACAGATACGCTGCTTACAACGTCATATTTCCTATGACGGTGCTGCTGCCTTTGATGTACAACCAGCAACACATCTTCTCGTGCGACACGGAGCACCTTACGCCTAAGGTAGTGGCAACCGTCCCTGCAGCATGGCCCTCCTCGGTAGAGCAGACGACATCGCGGACGCCTTCGCCAACGCGGCTTCGTGCTGCGTGCAGCCAACCTCTCCACGGGTAGGGAAAAGGCCGAGGACGACCTCTTCCATTTTTGCAGCAGCCGCCAAAGACATGCTGTTCCCCCCCCCCATGACAGCAGAGCCAACGCCGTCGCCCTTCGCACAGACGAAGCCAGAGGGACTCGTTCATCCGCGTACACACGCGGGACTAGGGCGAGCGTCTTCATCTTTTCCAACAGATTCTATGGCCGACCCAATAAGAGCACGGCTCGCTATTTGTGATGCTACCGTCAATGAAATCTACCCCAGTCAGTCGGCTCGATCGACAGCGGCGGAACCTATAGCACCACGCGCGAGCGCCGTCCGCGAAGATGCCTTCGGAGAAGCGGAGGCCATGGCAGCAGACGAAGGTCGCTCGTCGCCGCCAAGCCCTCTGCCACAAGGCTCGCTGGGCTACTGTCGGCTCACAGACAGAGGAACATCGTCACCACTTCTCCAGTCTTCAAAAGGAAAGGCAACGAGACCTGAACGGTCGCCCGGCGCCATCCGCCTTTCGTCGACAGCACAACAACACAGCGGCGGCCGTCGTGCATCGGCCGCAGCGGCGGCCGTAGCCGCTAGCGAGCTTGTCGGCGGTGGTCACCAAGACACACCATTCCCGACTGCCCCCGCGTACGAGCCGTCATTGCCACACGACGCGTGTACGACGGAGGAGGAGACACGCGAACATAAAACAGATGAACGCCGAGAAGATCTGTCAAACCATGGCACCGAAGAGACCGAGCAGAAACATGATTCTCCGGCAGCACATGCGACGTGCAGCAATAGACGCCTTTGGCGCGTCGAGGAAGATGACATCAGCGTGGATGCAAGGATGGTATCGACGTCCCAAGACCTCCATCAGAAGGAAAACAGGGAGATTCAATTGGAGGCTGAGAGTGGTAGTCGCCAGGAAAGGTATCATGGGCCACAAGTACCTGGTGTTCCCGTCGTAACCGGGCAGAGACCATCATCTCCAGGGGTTGATAGAAAATACTTTCTGTCGACATTGAGGGAAGATGACGACGTGTACAAGAATGCCCGGAAAGACCTGCAGCAGTACATGGAAGGAGTTAGGGCAAGGTGGGTTGATTCCCCGTTTTGCGAGCACTTGGCGTATTCATGTTTCTGGTGGTCGGAGAGGCTACATGGCTACGTGCAAACAGTTTACGTGGACGTCGTGCAACATAAGTCATTTAGTGCAGCTACCATATTGTCGGCGAACCACTTACCGTAGTCCACCTTACAGGGAGCCATTATGTGTAGGTGCGGGTGGTGCAGTTCGCCCGTGGGACGATCTGAATGTTTCGAAACGATGTTTGTTTCTGGAGAAAAGAGCTGTGTGCCAGGGTATTGTTGGTGCCCACAGGGTGAATGCACTGCCCATCTTGAACGCAAAGTATGAGACTTGAATTAAAGATTCTTGATCGAAGAGAGAGAACCACCGCAAATTCAATCACCCTGTCTCAAAACCCGTTTCTCGTGGCAACTGTAGCTTGCCACGTGCGTAAATCCCCTGCTACACCCTAAGCTACCGTACTGGCAACCCATCTGCTTGATGTGATTGCTCCAGAACGAGGGAGGATGGAACTCCGAAGGTTACTTTTCCTAGAAACTTCGACGAAATTGTTGGGCTCATGGGTCGGAACGATCTAGAGGATCGATCCCCGGACCAGGCATCGGCAGCTTCAAACAGAAGCGGCTATGCGGGGAAAGGGGCGGGAGGCAACAGCAGGGAAGGTGGAGGCGGCAAGGCAAGCGGGCGAGAAACAGGAGACCGCGCGCCCCCATGGACGCAGTACCTCTTGGAGGAAGGGCTCGATCGCACAAAGGAGTTCTCGAGATACAGGGGCATGTTTGCAGGTGAGACGTCTCGAACCATGCGTGTGCGTGGGACGGATGCTTGAATAGGAGGCGTTTCGGACTGCGGGTTAACGGACGTCGCGGCAACGCTAACTTGCGATTGTGCTAGCAGGGTGGTTACTTGAGTATTTTCATCAAGCGAGCCATCGCCCGTGTCGCAAACAAAGAAAGCACAACTGTCTTTGCAGCAGTTTTTTTGGTGTTGCCTCCGTCGACACCCGCGCTCGACTTCTGTCCTCGCTCTTCATGTGTATTTTTCTAGAGGAACAGACGGGAGGAGACCGCCTCATGCGAGGGCTGGCCAAGATTAGAGAGCTCGACGTTCGATTATTAAGGGTCACCGGTAGGGCGCGGGAGCTGAAGCTCATGGCGCGAGAAGCTGCAGAGCAAGCAGAACGGGCGGCGGCCGTGGGGATAGCCACCTCAAAGGGCGAGGTAAAGCCAGATAGAAGTGCGATGGGTTGGACAGCAATATGGGTACATGCTAGGAGGGCGGGGAGAGGGGCGGGGGAGGTACATCACACTCTCTGTCTCTCGTCATTTCACCGTTAACCATCACTCCCCTCTCCTAATACTCCCTTTCCCTTCGCCACCAACGTGTTTCGTCAAGCAGCGGGCACTATGCCTCAAAGGCCGGGGCCCGGTAGCTGTGGAGGATGTCCCCACCAACCATCCCCCTTTACGGCTACCGTTGCCGTTGTCCTCGGAGTTGGCACCGTTTGGCCCTGTCAGTTCCCGAGTGAGCATTGGCAGCGCCAGAAAATCAGAGGCCATAGCGCTAGGCACGGAGCGATCAGAAACGAGCGTGGCTAGCGGAAGCCAGCACGACGGCGACGGCGGAGCCAGCAACAGCCGGGACAGACAAGCGAGGCGGGGGAGGGCCTTCGTTACCCAAAAGTGAGCGGAAAGTTTGTGGTGTGTTCTTGCCGAGGGGAGGCATCAACGTGTCGTCAATCTGTGCCGAGAGAATGTAACGTTACATGTGGACAGCGATCTTCTGCAGTGCTGACTCCTGAACCAAAGCCTCCACCTACCCACGATCACCGACAAGCTCGCTAAGAAACTCTGTTCCTTCTCACTCTCTCTCCCGACCACGCCTACCACAGCTTCCGAGGGACCGCACGAACAGGGGGTTATTCTAACGCTGGGTCTACAGCCATCTCCGTGAACGGCAGTGACGACAACACTTGCAGCTCGAGGGCCCAGGGTTTCAGTAGAGGGAAGAGCGGCGTTGGCAGTCACGGAGGCGACAGCGGTAGTCAGAACGAGGGGCGGGGCTCGAGCGGCAGCGACGGCGGCGGCGCAGGCGGGAGCGGCGGGAGCAGCGGCGTTTCGTTTGTGCTGAGGAATAAGCGATACGCTGCTAGGGCAAGCCGAGGGCGACTCACGGACGAGCAGGTGCCCATGCGTACTCGTTGATGCTATTTTTAGCCTTCATGTGCCGATGCCGGTGCGTAGCGTTCCTGACAGCTTGGCATTAACGCCATGGCTGCTTCCTCACGTACTTCGTATATTATCGCATTTCGACTGACGGCTATGCACGTTCATATCATTGACCTTGCAACAAAAACGTAATCTGGTACACACAGCAGTGGCTCCTTTCCATTCTCCTTTGAACTACTTGCTATGTGGCGTTTCTCCCCCTCCTCCCTCCTAGGAAAGTCTGGTGTCCCGATTTGTGCAAGACGCCGACGGTTTCAACGATGACGGCGAGCCGACTGGTGAGGAGCCATCAGGGGTGTGGGCTGAAATTACGCCTTACGGTGGGACCGGGACGAGCGAAGACAACGCCAGGTAAACGGAAAAAAGAGGAGGGAACGTAGCCCTCACCTTGGTGCGCCTACAGGGTACGACAGGCGTTTGATGCGCCTAGGTTACCAACGGTTAGGGGCTGGGAAGCGGCCGAGAAGAGGATCACAATTGGATGGTGGCGTAAGCCCCTATGGCACATGTGCGCCGAAGCCTTCACCTTTGTCGCACTGCTGGAGGGTTTCGTCTTTTCTTGTCAAGCGATTTCCACGCATATCTCGAGCATCGCCCGGAAACGCTTCCGGGAAGTTAATCACCACTTTCTGGCAGCCGCACCCTTCGTTGCATGTGGTACGGCTTACAGACACTGCCTTCTCGCCGTTGAAATCCGTGTCTGACTACCCTTACGAACGCTGACGGCCGCAGGCTTGCCGAAATCAACGCCAAGCTTTTGGCGATGCGCGGAGCCGAAACGCTCGACCGTGACGACGACACCCAAGAAGAAAAAGGCGCACCCATCAACGGTGAGCGGACCTTTCGAGTGCCAACTCGAGAGACAGGACATGAACATTTATAAAAATCATTGCAAAAGGACGCAAACGGATATCTGCACGCGGGTCAAGACAGATCACACGCTGCATGGCATCATTGCGTTTGTTCAACGGCAAACATGCCTGTTTCATTTTGAAAGAAATCTCATAAGGCACACGTCCGCCACAATGCCTTGACAAAAGCAATCCCGATTACGTAGATTTGCGGTATGCAAACGCCAATTTCCCCATTTAAGGCGAAGAACCAGGACTTCCATTCCCTCGTCAAATCTCGAGAATATAGACTTTTCGGCAGCCCAACAACAATCCTACACTTCAACAAATCTATTTCCACCAAAGGCGACCGTCTACCAATTTTGGAGGTGTGTCTCAAGCGCCCCGGTCCCACCCCTGCTCCCGTCGCCGCTGATGACTCGACGATAGCAATGAAGCAAAACCTAAACCCAACCCAAAATTTTGCGTAATCTGACGGTGATCTCCAACGCCCTCCTTCTCACTGAATTAACCTTGATCAAAAAGCGAGTGAGCAACAACAGCGGTCCCCGAAGACAGCGACGGACATCGAACCCGCGCGCGTGCAGAATGACTGCGGTAGGGAAGCGCCGCCACCACCACCACCGCCGCCGCCGCCGCCGTCGCCGCCGCACTCGAGGTCAAGCGGAACAAAAGGAGCGGCGGCGGCGACGGCGGCGGTGCCAGGGTATGCCACCACCCCAGGAGACGCAGCCTTGCGAGAGCAGCGGGCGAAGCGGGAGGCTCGGTGCAGGGAGAGGGCCATCGACACGGCGTTGGAACAGGTACAGGTTGATTCACGGGCAAATGATGGGGCGAATTGATGTCAACTGCCGTCCGTTTGATAGACTTAGCATGTGACTTTGGGGAGCGACTATTCGGAATGGCTCGTGTCATTGAGCAGGAATGACTCCGTCGCCGTGGAAATCCCTGAGAGTCCTATCGCACGTTCTTTGTTTCGGTCACATGAGATCGCTTATTTTCTTGCTTCCGCGCAGCGAGGACGGTGGTGAGCAAGGTCGACCGTTTGGTTGGGCCGCGGCGAGCGATGCCTCAAACGCGGGCAACGCAGATACCTCCTCTTCCACCAGCAACACTGGAAAAAGTACCGATACAGCTCATTTCCTGCTAGTGCCAAGAGTAGGTCCGCGTGCACTACGCACCAACAGCGGCTTCCAAACCGACCATTCTGCCTTTCAAACAAACCTTCGAACACCGAAACCAACCCTTCCCCTCGTCTTCATCCTACGCGGAGGATTGCAGTTACGAGATTCCCTGTTCAAGGAGTCGGTAGCCGGTGGTCGGAGTTTGAGAGAAAAGGCCGTCGACGCGGCCCTGGAGCTAGCCCGATCGGCACCGCTCGACATGCAGGGGAGGGTAAGACGGGGCGCGGGGCGTATCGACTCGCTGCTTGGGGGAGAGGGTCCGCAACCGGTGAGTACGGGGCGTGGCTAACGACGGGGGGCACGGCGGCGTTCAGTTTGTTTGGGTGCTTCACGTCGTCTCAAGTCGACCTTGATACGCAACGCCAGCGTCTTGCTCAGCCGGCTTCGTGTCAATAAACGATAGAGTACGATCTGTATGTTCCCTCTTTGCATCTGTCTTCTTGGAAAGATGTGTCACTTTTTCTTCCTATCTACGTTGTATTTCTGCAGAGGTTGCACAAACAACAATACATCATGTTCTCATCGTCTTAGGCATTCATCAAATATTAGCCCAATCACTACAGTATGTAGCACTTGTGCACAGGAGGAGACAAGCCCAAGGTTAAGAGGCCCAAGGGCGAAACAGTTATAGTTTGAGTTGTTGTCCTTCCACCCATGCAGGTCGGAGAATGGGAGGTGAAGCACGCCCTGAGGCAGGGCGAGGAAGAGCTCCGCGGGAAGGATCTAGCGAGCCGAGAGAGGATCGAAGAGATCCTCGCCACCGTTCGCCAAGAAACGGCTGCTACTGCTGCCTCTCGAAGCGCCACCAATCCGCCGCCACCGCAGCATGGGAGCGATGCGATCGACCCCGATCGCTTTCCGCACGGCACCAGCCTGGACGATTTCTTCTCTCTCAAGGACGGGCCGGCAGAGATCGAGCCACAGCTTGCCGCCGCCGCTACGGGTAGGCCGCGATTGATGTTACCGTTGAGCGGCAGCCAGAGGTTTCCCCATGCGGAGGCAAAGCACGACGAAGGTAAAGGGGGAGCAGGAACCAGCGGCGAGACACCGCCGGAACAAGCTGGCCGAGAAATCACCAGAGGCCCGAGCACCGGAAGGTCGGCAGCAGTGTCGGATGAGGTTTCAACAACGTCGGGTGAAGGCCCGCCAGGCGCTGCGCGTCATGCCCGGCCGAGGTTGCCTCGAAAGAAAAAGAACTACACCGCTGTTCCTCCTGAAGTGGCCGCCCTATTTCGTGCACCACTGCTGGTCCCGCGGCACCTCGAACCGCCGATTGCTGGAATAGCGGCGGCGGCGGTGGCGGCGGGCGGCTCAAGACGAGTGAAACCGGGAGCAAGGGCGCGCATCGTCGGATAGTAGTGTCGGAGGTCAACCGCAGGGAGGAATATGGCACCGAGTTTGGGGTCAAGTATGGGAACTATATGTTAACCCAGGACGGACGATGATGATACGAACCCTTCTTGATGAACACACCGTGCTCCTTCCAGCACACACGAACATAAAGGACAAGCAGGCAAGACAACATAAACAACATAGACTTAACACATGTGTGTCCTCTCTCTCGACAAGCCCCGCGCTTGGACCCGCAACAGCATGCTCCCCAAGCAAGTACATTTATTTCCAAGATCGGATATCGTATCCAAGTACCCCAAACAGCCCCCCCCCTACTTGACGATGCGACAAACGATCTTGAAGTCCTGCATTTCATGAAAAACAAATCAACCAATACAAAATTACAGTAGCCACCACGCACTCAGCACAACGCGTTTGCCATTGTCTAGTGTATTCATCCCCATAAGAATCTGCGCTACGTACAACATCAGAAAAGCGTCGGAAGGATGACGGACATTTCTGAAAAACAGAATCAAAGAGTTGACACAACATCCTCGAACAAAACGAAGTTTCAACTTCTTGGCCAATAAAAACGAGCATTCGGAAAGCAGGCCTCAACCATTACTAACAACATGAGGACATGCCAAATCCCCCCTCAACTCAACAATGTCCAGAAATATACAGCTGGTACAATCATGTACTGCTGTACATGTGCTTGCCCCCCAGCTGCAACATTCCCCGAAACACAAAAACTCTGTGCCTTCCTTCTCTCACTTTGATAACGGCAAGTTCGTTTCGTGGTGTGCGACGGTAGCAGGTGGAGGGGTGAGTGAAGTGGTTACAGGGTATACATGTAGACCACATGCATTTTGAACTTCGAAATTTGAACCAAGCAAGAGGGCACGCGGATGAAAACAAAAAATGCTGTTCCCTTCTGCGTACCCCCCACAGGCACGGTGCAAGGCGCCAGAAAGTCTCAATCAGCAAGTCGCACACAGGTCGCACACAGACAGCACTCATCCATTTCTACAATGAGGGCAGTATTGACCCTCCTGTGCATGGCAGTGGCGGTGGTTGGGAAGAAGCAGGAGGAGGCATTGAACAAGGACACAACGCCCTTCTGGCTTCGCGACCAGCTCGACGGTAAATGCGTTTTTTTTTTTTTCGATTCCACACTGCTCTCGTTGACGTTGCCGGTGCAGCTTTGCAGCAGCAGCGGCTCCAATATCAACAATTCGCACGGCCTATGCATATGCATGGGTCAAACTCTGGCGTGGATCGTAGGAGAAGAACCGCACCAGCGTCGGGATACGCCACAGTTCCTTGGTTGTTTTTTGGTCGACGTGGATGCTGTGTGCCACAGCACTGGCTGTATTCATGTGTGACTCGGGTTGGCAAACCGTATCGTATGATATCCTCCACAATGAGCTCTTGTAGAGGTGCTTCCGAATGGAGCCATGCATGTTAGACCTACATTCAGCAAGGCAGCAGTGCAGTCCACGGAAGGGAATGCCAAGCCATTCATAGATATGCCAAGCCATTCATATCTTCTGCGGTTGGCCGCACCCACTCCTCGAGTGCAGTGCTAAATAGTCTTTGAGAGCGGGTTCGCCGTTTCCGATAGGCAGCCGCAGCGGTGTGGATTTAGTTCTAAGTGCAGTGGATGTGATCGAGGGGACGATTCTCTCTCATCACAACAGCAGTACACGAAATTATTTCCCTGATGCCCTTTCACAATACTCTCCAAGTCTCCCCCCTCTTCCGTGATATGTTGACGGCGTCTGGCTCGCGATACAAGTAGCACACACGACGCCTTGAACCATTGGATCCGCAATTCCACGCGCTTCCTCCACGTGGATTCACTGCTGTGGCTCGGAGATTCACTGTGGTGCCAAGTGTAGGTCGTTCTGACCGTTAGCGGTTACTGAAAATACCTCATCCCCAAGCTAGATTTGGTGCGAGGACTGTGTTGCTAGAGTTTGCTCTCCGTTGTACTGGCGTTGGCACACCTCGCGGTTCCAGCATCTAGGCTACCGTACTTGACGCAAGATATCACACCCCCTGGACCGATTTTCAAAGCTCGATTGCTCCACAGCACAAAGAGCGGCGGTACCGACAAAGGCGGCATGGGAACCGTCTCTCATCGAGCTCTCTGAAATCAATATGGTTTCGTTGATTTCATTTAGACGTCCTCTTCCTGGTCGTGGAGTGATCGAGCTTAAAAACATTGTCCAGGGGGTCCGATATCTTCTGTCACCGACGGTAGTCTATCGTATACTCTTTATTGCAGCACTACCATTCGCTCGCCGTGTCTTGCACAATACGCGTACTCTATGGTGTTTCCTGATGAGCTTGACCACAACCGTTGTGTGGTTGTTTTCCCTGCCATGGGGACTCCTGCCCGCTAAACCCCTCTGCAGTTTATCGCAGACCACGTCAACGCCCCGACATTAAATAAAAGCCAGGACGTGCACCAAGAAGATGCAGCAGTTTCACTTTTGTTCCTCGAGAAAAGCAGCGGTTATACCAATTAAGCAATTAAGTTATTTGCAGCCGTCCCATCTCCGCGTTCAACCCCATGTCTTCCGTTGGCGACTGCAACAGGACACACTTTTTAGGATACGCGTCCAAACGCACACATGCATCCTATCCCGCCATTCTCCTCCGCGGCGCCCCTGCCGAGGGGGCCCCGTGACTAGAAATCGTGTTCGCTTGTTACCCCTCCGTATGCATTAGACGGGCTTAATTTCGTTAGTTCGAGTTCACCAGTCGGCGCTGCCGATGCAAATTCCTGAAACACGCACGCGTCTTGTCGTTCATACATTAGTATAGATTTCTCTTTCCAGGAATGTGCTTGGGGCCAGACGGATTCGTGTGCGTGCGACGCCAGCAGCTTGTGGGTCTTGGCCTTAAAGCACCCCAAGAAGCTGACCCAGGCGTTCGTGAGCATGCTTGCGCCGGAGCCGGGAAAGCATGTGCCTCGGCAGCAGCTCCGGCGGGATGTTTTCTTCGCGACGACGGGTTGGGGTTTCCAAGTGAGCCGGCGGTTTCGTTTCGTGTGTAACTGTTGTTGTGTTTTGTTTAGAAACTTGACATGCAATCACGGAATTGAATTTTCTTTCTTCTTGGCTTGAGTGGTTGCCAAGGGGGGGGGGGCGGGGGGCGAGTTCCTGCTGGGGGGGGGTAACTCTTCCGACTTGGCTGTTGCTGTACGCCTTGCCCTTTCTTTCGGCTGAGCATTTCGGGTGTTGTCAAGAAAGCTACCCAGTTTGGCGAAACTAAGTGATGATGTTCTTTATCTTGAGCGGTTTGTAAAACGTCCTTCGAGTCCCCCCTGTCTCACCACGTGGCACGGTTGGAGTATGATTTCGGTCGTGGTGTTCTCAAGGTGAATGCGTCAATTTCTTACTCTCCTATTTCTACGCAGGTGTTGCAACCCACTGAGCTCGAACAACGTCGAGGGCAAGGTGATGCCTGATGTGGACGCTCCCGTGCCGTACTCCACGCTATACATACAAAACACGCAAAGTCTGACTTTCATTGTCGCATCTTTCCCATAATAGCGCTGGAGTCTGTCCGCTGCTTGTGCCCACCCTCATTCAACCGGTGTGCCCCCCCCACTCACCCTCTGAACCGACCAGGTGCGGGAGCGGAAACGCCAAGAACATGGGGCTGTCGGACCTCAGCGTGCAGGGCGATTCGGGCTTCTTGCTGGCGCAGGGAAAGAACTGCCTGGCGAGGGGTCAAGGGAGGCTGCGCAATTCCGCCGACATGCAGGTACAGCAGTAAACAGTGGTAGTCGTACACAGCAGCAGTGGTATTATTGCAGGTACGGCAGTAATGGTAGTCGTACACAGCAGTAGTGGCAGCGGTACGGCAGTGGTGGTCCCGGTAGAATGCCGGTGCTACAGCCGTATTCACCGGCATTTGTAGCGGGCAACCGGCATTGTTCAGAGTGATATGAAACAACTTGAACACAGTAGTGGTCCCGGTATCATGCTGGTGCGATACAGCCGACTTCACCGGCGTTTGTATGTAGCGGGCAACCGGCAATATCCAGAGTGGTACGTAATAACTTGAATATTCCACCTGTGCGCCAGACGATTTCACCGGCATCATACGACGTTATACCGGGCGACTGGCATTGTACCGGGAACACGACTGATATGTGTTTTTTGCGCGAGCTTGGTCAACCCCGGAGGAGGTATCTAGCCCAACAAACCGCATTTTTGGGACTGTCTTCGCGAGGATTATACCGCATTTTTGGGACTGTCTTCGCGAGGATTATACCGCATTTTTGGGACTGTCTTCGCGAGGATTATACCTCTGAAATAGAGAGGGGGGCTTCGTATCCTCTTAACCACCAACCCCACCCCCTACTAAATCCAAGCACATTGCCCTCTCGAATACCATTAAGTATTTTTTATTGCTTTGGCTGGATGAACTCGGAAGCTTGTAATTTCTCGAGTAGAGACTCGTTGCCGCCCATGCGTCGAAACGCCCTCGTACCGCAATGCCCCCCACCGCCCAATTTTCCGAAGACCCCTGCTATGGTACGCCTGTGAATCTTTCGGGTTCGCCCGTTCAACACGGGTGCTGTATCACGTCACTTGCCATTGATGACTGTGGGCTCGAGGACTTGAGCTGTTTTATCGCGGTTTTGCTCTGGGTGGATGGAGAGACGGAGAAACCCTCGCCTTGGTCCACCCAAGGGAGACAGACGATCTCGGCTCGTATTCTGTATTTTTTGTCAGACACCCGCGAGGCAGCCACGTGTTAGTAGTGTGCTTCGCTCGTGGCTCTCTCTCTCTCTCTCTCTCTCTCCTTCTGGAAGTGCAGTTAAAGGCCATGAAGCAATCTATCAAGTCGTTTTTACGCCGATAACCAGCTGTGTATCCGTCCGAGAAATAGTCGCCGGAGCCCTCCCCCTCGTGAGCGGTTGTTCAGGTGCAGCTCAGCCTTCGTACTGCTCGTGGGATTTGTCACGGCCAACATGCCGCGCGTGTTGCGGCCCGGGTTTGTAGACAGAACGTCAGGAACTACGATGCACTACACACGACAGGTAGTATTGCCAGGCGTGATTTGGAGCATACTCTTCCCCCCCCCCAAAGGTTGACCTTCAGCTTGGTCCCTGCATCCATTTGGTCCGTATAGGTTCTCCTTGAGCCCTATTCCCTCTTTGAACATTCCGTACACCTCTAGACCGTGCTATCCCTCGGTTGCTTCTGTTCGTTTCGTTCTTCTCTATTGCGCAAAGCAAAGAAAACCGAACGAACGGAAGCCCTCGAGGAGGAGGACGGTCTAGAGGTGTACGGAATGCTCGAAAAGGGAACGGGATTCAAGGAGTACCTGCACTGACCAAATGGAGGTCAAGTTTAGGACCGAGGACGGTAGCCTTCGAGAACGTATACGAAGATTTAGGAAGAAGGTAGACAAAGACAACGACAAGTTTAAGTGGGAATGTGGCTCCGAGTGCGAAGACCGGGTTGATGCAGTTGCAGAATTTCCGTTTTACGAAAAGGGAAGAGAACTGTACGTGACTGAGTCGGGAAAAAAAGAAAGAAGTGCATAGAGAAGCTTGAGGCATGACAGCCAGGAGAACGCGGTAGCTATACTGGGGAAGAAGTGGGTTGAATAGGCGGGCAGTGATATCGACAAGATAGATACGCAGGAAAAACATTGTTGAGTCACCTTTGGCAAAGTAGGAAAGAACGATTGACCATCGGCGATCGGTCCTGTGGGAACAGCCCTCGATTTTCTCGAGGACGCGTGCTCAGTGGTCTAACTACTAAAGCATGCAAACCATGAGTACGCCCCCCCCCCCTCCGGTTCTCTATGTTGCGCGCACATCGACCAAGAACATGTTGTGATCGCCCCTGAAAAGGAGGTTGGCCACACGGCTGGGACGGCAAGGTCTCCAGTAGATCATGATCGAATCGCGCAAGACGTCCGAACAACCTTTCTGCTCCGCATTGGACTCATTGTTGTGCTTATTCACGCGCCGACTTGCGCACGTTACGCCCCCCCCCCCCCCCCCCCGGGCTTTTGGGGGAATTTTTTCCTCCCCCCCCCCCCTTTTTTACCAAGGGCCCTGTCTTAAAGGTCGGGGAAACCCCTTTCCCCTTCCGGGGTTTCCAAAACCCCCCCCCAAAAAAAACCGGTTTTAATGGAGGCGGGTTTCGAATTTGCAACAAGGGGAACCCTCCCCTTAGGGAAAATCTTTGGCCCGGCGGGGGGGGGGAATGTTTTGTTGGTTTAAAAACCCAAACAATTTTAAATCCTCCAAAGGATTTGGAAGGAAAAAATTCCGGCCCAAGGCGGTGGCCCTTGGGGTTTTTGGAAAAAAAAAAAACGGGGCCACCCTATCTCCGGGGGGAATTTTCATTTTAATTTTCC